TTTGTGTTGGTCCCTCAACAATGGGTGAGCTTTTAAACGTATTTAATATACAGGGAGAAAGGAGGAGCCTCGTGGTAAGGAGAAGAGCAGGGTAAGGGGGTGCAAGTAGGGGTGGGCTGGATGGATGTGGAGGAAAGTGAAAAAAATGGAGCCAATTGGGCGCGGGGGGAGGGTTCAGAAATAGTGAGGGATGAGACTGGATTATGTACCCTGATTATGGGGTTCCAAAGGCACTGGAAAGTGACCGTAGGTTTTTAAGCAAGAAAAATCATGACCAAAGTGGGCTTGAAGGAAGCCTTCAGTGGGCAGGGTGCATTCTACATGGCTCAGAAGGACTTCAAGGCTGAGCTGTCATCTGCCCACAGGGAGGGTGCCTGGGTCTAGGGAGTGGTGGCTCTGATAATGAGGAAACAGGGTAAGTCCTGGAGACCTCTTCATAGGAGAATAATAGTGCCTGGCACCAGCAGGTGAAGGAAGGGAGAAGTCAAAGCTGCTTGTAGTTTCTGGAGAAGGTGTTTCAGACATAAAAATCAGGGGCAATACCCTCTTTTTAAATCTAGGATTGATCTTTGATTCTTTTTAAAATTTTAAAAATTGAATTATAGTTGATTTACAATTTTGTGTTAGTTTCTGGTGTACAGCAAAGTGATTCAGTTATACACACACACACACTCAGATCCTTTTTCAACATAGGTTATTACAAGATATTGAATGTAGTTCCCTGTGCTATATAGGAGGTCCTTGTTGTTTATCTATTTTATGTATAGTAGTTTGTATCTGCAAATTCCAAACTCCTAATTTATCCCTCCCCCTCCTTTCCCCTTTGGTCACCATGAGTTTGTTGTCTATGTCTGTGAGTCTCTTTCGGTTTTGTAAAGAAGTTCACTTGAGTAATTTTTTTAGGTTCCATGTATAAGTGTTACCGTGTGATATTTGTCTTTCTCTGTCTGACTTACTTCACTTAGTATGATCATCTCTAGGTCCATCCAATTTTTGATTCTTTATTAAAAAAAAAAGGACCAAAGGGAAAATTTCAGGACATCAAGGTAGGTCCAGGGGTTATTCTGATCTTCCTGTATTCTCTTCTCTAAATTTTGTTTCACGGTACTCAGTTGTCTACACACTGGTTTCAGCCTTCTGCACGCGGTTTTGACTCTCTGCTAAGGAGATTTCTGTTTTCATACGGTAGATAGGTTTGGACCTTATTGGTATGCGGACACAGTGGGTTTCCCTACATTAGGCCCTGCCTTACATTGGGAGGGAGGGCTCTGGACTTCTCTTAGAAGGGAGTTGATGCAGTCAGAACCCCATTACCCAATTTGGGGTAGGCAAAAAGAATGGTTCTTTCATAGCAAAATGAAACAGCCAGTTACTTCAATTTTTGGACCAAGATTTTTCACAGAAACCTGCAAGATTTCATGTTACCTCTGTTAAAATGACCTGAAATTTATCAGAGAATGGTGCATAAATTAATAGTCACCATTGATTATCTCCATCTTTCACCAAAAGAGGAACAATGATTAAATCAAAAAGGTTTCAGGCCTTATAAAAGAGAATTTGATCCAGGGCTTCCTGAAACCCCCCAAATAAAGAAAAAACTAGTCAAGCAAGACTCAGATGCTTCTAGTGGACTTAGATGAATTGAATATGACCTTAAAGTGCTTTCTTGTGGATATTCACATATTTATGTATTTTGCAAGTGATGTGAACACACTTCCACGTGAAAAATTTTGAACCCCGGGATGTTCTTTGACTGTCCTGCAAAATGATGGTCTTTATAAAGGCTTCCACTAAATTCTAACGTGCATTAATACGTTAGTATAAGATACATGATTGCAATTTACAATGCTAAGTTTATAATTATAATATATAGAAACAGAGAATAATACAGCTTTTGTATACAAAATGAATGTTGTCTTTATTATTCTGTCCTCATGCTAAAGCTCTTTCTGTTCGTTTGTTTATAGCGTGTCCGACTGCAGTCCCGGCTGACTTGGTATTCCTCATTGAGGAATTTCCCAGGGACAGGCACTTGAATTTCCAACAAGTTGTCAGTTTCTTAAAGACCACCACCCACTCTCTAAGATTTCATCCAGAGGTTGTGAGAATTGGCTTGGTCTTCTACAGCGAGGAACCACAGCTTGAGTTTTCACTGGATACATTTCAGGATCCAGCCAAGATCTTGGAGCATCTGAACAAATTAACCTACAGGGGGAGAAGGGGAAAGACCAAGACCGGTGCTGCTTTGGATTTCCTGAGGAATGAGGTTTTCATTCAGGAGAAGGGCAGCCGGTCCTCGCAAGGTGTACAGCAGGTAGCCGTGGTCATCACAGAAAGCTCCTCCCAAGACAAAGTGTCCAAGCCCGCTTCTCTCCTCCGCAGGGCAGGGGTTACCATCTATGCAGTGGGTACCCAGATTGCCTCAGAGAACTCAGATCTGGAGAAGATAGCGTCCCATCCTCCTTGGAAGTATGTCATCTCCCTCGAATCTTTTTTGCAACTCACCGTTGTGGGAAGCAAGATTAAGAACCAACTCTGCCCTGAGATTGTAGGCACCAGGGTTTCCATTTCTGGGATGGGCTCTGAGCTACAAGAAGGTAGGAGGACCTTTCCCAAATTTGATCTTTTTAAAAAAAATGTTTATTCTGTTTGCTCCTTACCCACACCTGCTCTACCTCCCACCCAAGAAAAGATTTTGGAGTCAATTCATTGAAAAACAGAAACAAAACTTATGAAACCGTTATTTTGTCTTAACTCTACACAGTGGAGAATGTGAAGTAAAAAGTGAACACGGCCCTGTCTTCCTGTCTTACCCCTCATCCCTTTTAACAAACAATTTGATGAAAAAATATGGATTTTTACAGTAGAAGCCGTAGGGATCTGCGTATAGATTGACCAGACCTTAAGTCATATAAAGTGGCAGATTATTTCAAAAGAGAAAGATACAAACATTCTTGAAATTAAAACATTTAACTTCAAATATAGTAAATGAACATCAATTTGCCAATCTTTTGTGCAGGGCCAAGGCTTCTTTGACTAGGAGCCCCTCTGATTGGAGTTCCAAGTATTTGCCTCATGAATCATCCAATAGTGTATGTTCTATCATTTCCAGGTTCAGTTTCATTAATGAAGAGAACTTCACCACTGTTGAAACCATCTACGTACAGACATCCTTATTGACTTTTATGATCTCAAAAATGCAGTCCTTTGCAGTGCTCTCCAGTACACCACCAACTTCTTTTTTTTAATTACAACATTTTAAAAATTATTTTTTTAAATTGAAGTACCATCAGTTACAATGTGTCAATTTCTGGTGTACAGCACCATGTCCAAGTCATGCTTATACATACGTATATTCCTTTTTCATATTCTTTTTCATTAAAGGTTATTACAAGATATTGAACATAGTTCTTTGTGCCCTACAGAAGAAACTCTTTTTTAAATCTATTTTTGTATATGGTGGCTAACATTATCAACAATTTCTTTTAAAGCAACTTGCCTCTGCTGGGTCTTTTCTAAGTAGTTAACTTGGTTTTCATAGATGTCATAAACCCCTTTTATTCACACTCATATCCTATAGATTTTCACAATATTTGCTTTGTTGTGTAATTATAATGATTTGCCACTTATGGGCTGTTATGAATATCTTTGTGTCTGTCTATCTACTTGTCTGTCTGTTTTTGTCCATCCGTGCTAGTATGTCTTAGATTCAACTCAGAATTATAGAAAGAAGGTGGCAACTTGAAATGTATATAATTAACTGAAAAATTCAGAGCTGTAACTGTATCCTCAGGGGAGAATCAGTGAGCTTTAATTTATTTACTTATTTAAAAAAAAACCACTAAATGATTTTGTAATTTCCTGATGACTTGTGTTGAGGTCTAGAGATTTAAAATATCTAAATAAATCCCTGTCTTCCTCTTTGGCCCAGATTTTTAGTCCCTTTCTTTATCTCAGGAATGAGGAACAAAATCATTAACTATGAATTTCACTGGCTTGTGAACCCCCTGCTTACATTCTCTCCTGATTGTCAAACAGTGAAGACTTGAGAGTTGATTTCTTTCTCAGACTGCATAGCAGCTAAAAAGAAACCTGTAATTAGGAAAATCTGCCCAAAGTCTGGGGTGGTTCGATGTAGGGGCAGCTTAGAGGTAAGGAGAAGTTGGGACAATGTCACCAGAATTCTGTCCTGGGTGATCGTAATGATCATAATATCTGCCATTTATTGGTCACCTGCTGTGTGTCAGACCCTCTTCTAAGCACGTGGTTTATGTGATAGGCGTGCATATTAGCATCACTGTCAAAAATCGTCTCTCCTCCAAAATGTCCCTCTGCCAAGCTTGGCGAGAATGTGTCGCACCAGGCGGTACTTGGACTTTTAACCCATCCTGTGGACGATGAGAAGCCCTGGGCGGTAGGGGAGCCTCTTTGGGCCACTGCTGAGGAGAAAGGACCACTGCACAGGAAAGGGCTGGCCGCAGAGATACCGCTTCCTGCGCAGTGGTCTTTTACTTGGACTCAGGCCAGCCACGCCCTGTTGCCAGTGGGTGCTGTTTCCATCAAGGTTCCGGTTCCTGCCTTCTCTTTACAAAATTCCCCCTCCATTCCCCAAGCACTCAGCAAACGCTTCCAAGCCGCACTCTGTTCCGATGCCTGCCCCTCTAGGGTGGGGTTGGCAGATAAATACAAGATGCCCAGTGAAATTTGAATTTCATTCAGATAAACAACAGATATTTTATCTAGTGTAGGATGCTTCATGTGTTACATGGACCAAGTCCTCCCAAGTGGTGGCCTGAATAAGGGAGACCACTGCCCTTCTGGTCAGGAGCCATGAAAAGGCGTCCCTGGGTCAAGGAATCCAGAGATTAATAACATAAGTCTGAAGGGATTGAGGGCAAAATCATGCTGTTCTCTCTGAGAAATCTGCTACATGACAAAAGTAAAACACTGGGTTATCGTAACTGTGAATTTTTGTTTGTTTGTTTGTTTTTGAAGAGGGAAAGATAGTTAGATCTATTTATTTTTTTAAGGGGATGATTTTCAAAAAATGTTATTTTTATTTTTTAATTTACAATGTTGTATTAGCTTCTGGAGGGAAGGTAATTAAGTTTATTTATTTATTTTTGATAATGATTTTTTAAAAAAATTATTCTTTTTTAAAATTTTAAACATTTTTTAATTGAGTAATATTCATTTTACAATA